GGGCCGCATAATGAAGGATTTTTGCCCGCAACAGTCACAAAAAAACTCCCAACAACTTGCCTTCCCAACACACCAGAGACTAGAGATGGGAATGATTTCAGCTCCATAAGGGTTCTGTTAACCAGTGTTATTTAATATTCATATTTTGAATGCATTATATGAGAGGTGATAACAAGAGCTGCGTCACGCTTTATTTAATAACAAGTATCCGATTCCTGACCTTAAGTATCCGATTCCAGGATTGGAATTTGATTCCCAGCCCTATATCTGTGTTCAGGCAGTGATGATGCGGGTGCAGCTTGTTCGGGGTGAGATCTGGCTGCAGGTCTTCCGCCTCATCACACCATCCATTTTGACTTTTCGTCGAATTTTTTTTTTAGCTTTGGCAAACTTTCAGCATTGGATTTATTCTCTTTAATTTTCTTTATTGTTTGAGTTGTGCTTGGATATGTGTGCTTCATGGTTGTTTCTTTCTAATTATCTGGTTTGAATAAACGATTCAATGACTCACTCATAAATACACTTCACTTGTTTCACTATTGGATGAATCAGTGTTTTTGAACAAATCTCTTGAATGAATGATTCAATGACTCAATTAGGAAATCGGGCACTATTTGAAGGGACAGCCATTTGTAGTAGTGTCCAAAACTATAGTGGATGCTATCAATATCAAGTGCACTCATTCAATGCCACAATGCACCGCAATAACGAGTATACAACTGATGTACACTCAACGGATAGAGAATACCCACAATGCACTGTGTGAGTCGTGCCAAATGAATGGCGATGCGCTGCGGCTGAATCATCTATCCATCCATTTTCCAAACCGCTGGTCCAATGTGGCTTTAGCGTAATATCACACAGGTATAAACTCCTTTTTAATTGATTATTACAGAATTACAGATTATACTAGTACAGTAGTGTCCAGTAGAGGGCGCCGCTCAAACAAACCTTTCAGTTGCTGCTCTGGATAATGGAAGAATATGCAGGAGAAAAAAGTTTAACACTTACTTTACCAATAAAAATAAATAAATCCATAGTCATTTAGCTTATGGTTTAACTGAATCATCGAAGGTCAGAAGCAAGTACAATGGTCAAAGTTAGATTAAATGCATAAAAATGTATGTTTTATTTAACATATTTAGTTATTGGAGGTTTGCATAGTGTTCTGATTCAGCATTTCACTGATTTTATTCATTTTGAGGAATATTGAATCTTTTTTGTGCAAGTGAGATGAATAAATGTCACATTTAGTCTAGAATTACAATAACCATCATGTTCACACACACACACACACACAATGCCTCTGCACTTCGATTTGTCTCAACATGAGGACAAGAGAGCTGTCAGTCAATTAATGGGAAAACAAAGTAACTTGCATTACTTATTTGAAAAATTAACTTAGATATGTTGTTGTAAATTGAAAAAGTAATGAGTTACTTTACTTATTACTTGAAAAAGTATTCTGATTTCGTAACTCGAGTTACTTGTAATGAGTTACACCCAACACAGAATATCACACAGGTATAAACTTCTTTTTCATTGATTATTAAAATGTTTGATACCTAAACATGTTAACTGCTCTCTCACAGATTTGAATGCTCCAGTGTGATTTTGTCAAAGGTTTAATAAGACACAGGCGAATCGTTGTCATTTACGAATAAGATCACGTGGGTGTTTGAATCAGGTTTGTGATCTTTTAAACGGCTCTACTTTAAACTGACACCAGCTGGTGTGAATTTTGGCAAAACAACTTAGTGCACCCATATTTGAAGCATTCGTCCTGATAAACATGAACTTCAAATATAAATGAGAATCGCTATAATAACTCACAGTGAGCATTGGCGTTGTCAGGAGACCCCAGGCGAAAAACTCCAGAAAGATGACCACAACAGCATGATACACGCTCGGCTTCCCGATGCCCTGCTGGACCTGGAACATCACAAATATAAACAGCTCATTATTAATAATGCTGATTATAATCTTCAACGTGGCACATTTCCAAACTCCTCAGCTTTCAATGGGACTGATCTCATTGCTATTCCTCTGGGACACACAAAAAACTTCACTGCACAAAAGGGAAAAGAAATTCAGCTGTGCCAAACTCTCAAGCCACTTCTGACAGAAGTTCACAGTCTGGAAGAATTGCTTAATATGCACTTGCCGGTATCGTCTTACTCTTATGGATTACTCTTAGTGAGTTAATAATGCAATTTAATCCCATTTGTTCATAAAGAAGGAAACACACAGATGTTATGTGGGTGAAAACAGGAAACTTGTTTCCCATCCAAACATGATGCAGTAGAGAGTTTGGGACAGAAGTTATATACATTTTAAATGAATTCAACTATTATTAAATATATATACAGATACACACATATACGCATGTGCAAGTATATATATATATATATATATATATATATATATACACACACACACATATATATGCACATTTGTGTGTGTGTGTGTGTGTATATATATATATATATATATATATATATGCGTGTATGTACACACACACACACACATATATATATATATATACAGGTGTTTTTTTTTTTATTCAAGTAAATTGGGGCGCTTTTTGCCATTTAAGCATTTAACAAATTAGCAAACCAGCAAACAAATATTTGTCTTATTAATTAATAAATATACTAAATGTCTTATTGAAGGACTTATTTTTTCAGGCTGGACGCTCTGAACAGACTTTTTTATTATTATAATGCATCAAATAATAAACAGAAAGAAAAGACAGAACAGGTCCGACCTCTACAGAAATGTAATTACATGTAAAGTTTCACAAAAAAATATAACATTATAAACACATACAGATGGGACAATTATGCATCAGTGGTATTACCAAAAAAATTATCATAATATTTCAAGAAACTGTCACTTTTCTCGTTTTTAATCAACCTAAGAGATTTAAAAAATGTGAAAAAGCAGGCTGCGAGTTAGAGAATTAACTTAATTAATGAAAGTCATTGGAGTATTAGTTGTACCTTTATACTAACAGATTATATTTTTTTAAGTGAAAGGATCTGGAAGAATCAAGGTGTTTCCCTATATATTTATATATAAAAAAACACACATTGAAAAAAATGTATGACTCAGTGTTTCATCCTTATTCCCACAAAATGAGCAAGAACTGTCAACATCCATATATTTTGCCACAGTATCATTTACAGGATAAATGTTATATAAGATCTTAAAATGAACTTCATTCATCTTATTGGGAATGCAATACTTAAGAGGTAACAAACAATCTTATTGAAGGACTCAAGATCAACAGGATGAGCAAATGACATCACAGACTAATGAATAAATGAATGAAGATTTCGGCGTCCCCATGACAACAGATTGCGCGCGTGCGTCAGATAGATAGGTGTTGTGCGCGCGTTCGCGTGTTACGTAATAGCCGAACACAGAGCTTCAATAGGCTAATCTGTTAGTGTTAGCATCTCTCCTCACCTTCCTGAAAACGATCGATATTACCCATGACACGTTTTGAAACACTTACAGAAATGACGTAAAGACCCTAGACGATATTTAGCGATACACAAAACGATAAAACGACGATTCGATTCTTTTAAAGAATTAAAGTATTTTGATTCGTCAGCTAGCCGATCCGCTATCATCGCTCCGTGCGCGCGCACGTATGTAACGGTACGGATAAACTGATGTTAATGTTTATTGTATGATTGTATGTTATTCTTACCGGACTATCATGCTTCATTATGATCCTCTTGACCAGCACAACTTGGCTGGTGTGATTCTGGTCTATCTCCCCTTTCTCCATCATCATCTTCTTCTTCATTATGTCATCACATCCCGTGTGAGTAACATAGAATCCATCCTGCTGAGTGCATATCGGTGGTCCGCCACCTCCTTCCAGCTTTAACAGCGAGTTCAGCCGTCCAAAATATGAGTTTAATCTTTCTATTCAGTTATTTACATCCAGCAGAAACCAGACTGTACCGATAAAATGCTGCTGTCTCACTGTCTCTGCCGTGTTAGTGTGCCGTGACTGCAGTGCGCAGAACAGCGCCGCCGCGCGGTGAGAGGGTGAAACAGCGCATGCGCAGCTGTTCCTGGACCAGCATCATGTGATGCTCTGGGTTCCTGTGCACTGGCGGATGCTGCTCTCCGCTGATCTGGACTCAGGATGATGGACCAGTTTCTCACTGGGCGAGTGACAGAGCTGCGTCACACTTTATTACCTTATCAGAGTATGTTACCAAGGCTCACAGTGGAGGATGACACTTCACTATCATTACTGAGTACTATGGCCTCATCTATCTATCTATTTATTTATTTATACATCCATCTATATATCTATCTATACATACAGACATCTATGCATACATCTATACTTACATCTACCTCACTGTCGGTCGGTCTATCTATCATCTCTCTATGTACTATATCGTTCTATCTACTGTATAGTTCTATCCATCCATCTCGCTGTCTGTCCATCCTTCCGTTCATCTGTCTGTCTATCTATCTATCTATCTATCTATCTATCTATCTATCTATCTATCTATCTATCTATCTATCTATCTATCTATCTCTTCATCTATCCTTCTTTCATCCGTCCATCTGTCATTTCCATCCATCCATCCGTCCATCTGTCATTTCCATCCATCCATCCACCTGGCCACTATTTACATTTATTTTTATTACTTTAAATATGTATTTTATATAAATATGTCAACATTTATTCAATTTAATTTTGTAATTTGGCCCTACTTATACACTCAGATTGTGCATAGTGAAATGTTTTTGTATGTGCATTTTTAAATTTAAACTAACCTGAAATAGTACAAGTACATTAAATAAGAAAAACAGGAAGCAAAATAAAGAAAGCTTAGCTGAATATTGCATTAAAAACAATAAAATATAAAACTTGTAAAAGTTATTTAAAATGTGATAAAGACCATAAGCTTGCATGAGTGATATTGCAGTTTTTTGCTTTATCTCTGGAATATAAGCTATTTAAGTTAATATGTAACATTAATACTTTTGACTGAAGCAATTCAGTCGTAAGGCTTAATCATGTTCATGGTTTGCCTCAATTAAGTTAAATGGCTCCCTTGGGCATCTGTGGCACCAGATCAGTTATCATGACGAGAAGGTAAAGTTTGTTTATTTGTGTCACTAAGCAACCGGTATCCTCATCTTACCAGCTGCTAGAGAGAGTTTGCCTGTGTGTCAATGTTTCCCAATGGGACAGTAAAACATTTTGCACATGATACTTTCCCTATTGGTTTTCACAATTAGGTGTCAGAAAATAACTTAACCAATGCTAAAATGGCTTTAGCAAGTGGACATTGGGTTGACAAAGAAATTGCAGGGGTCCCACCAAGCCCAAGGTAAGTAAGTTCTGCTTACATTATGTTTCTCTGTCATTTGTGATGCCTCTACTGAATGAAGATTGCTAAGTGTAAGACTCACACCATAATCATTAGCTACACTTGTTTACAGATATGGCCATGCGATGACTGTAGCAGGGAATATTGCGTTCTTGTTTGGAGGAGCATCGAGCGCGATCACAGAGGTGTGTGAATCTAATAAACTCCACGTATTTCAGTGTTCATTAAAAAATTGATGCGTTTGCAACAATAAGAACTATTTTTCTGTCCTTAGGATGATCCTCCAATATATCTCAATGACTTTTACATGATTACAGGTAGTCTACTTTTGGTGAAATATTTTGCTATTAAAGCATGAATGGTTTTGTTAATGACAGTTTCAGTCTTTTAACTTTCTCTTCTGTTTTAGTTTCATCTAATGGCGTAACATGGGAGCTGATGCCCCAGAAAGGTGATGTTCCCACAGTAAGAGAAGGACACACTCTATGGTAATGATATAAACACTATAGTTTTGTTGTTTTTGAAAGATGTCCACGGCTGCATTTACTGGATCAAAAATACAGTAAAACGGTAATATTGTGAAATATTATAACTAGAGCTGCACCATTAATCGCTAAAAGTTTGTGATCTTGATTGAAACACTCACACGAACTGTCTATTAAACCTTTGACTAGTTCAACAACAGTGAACATTCAGATGCCGCTGAGCCAGAGAGAGCCGTTGTCATGTATATTCAGTCTTTTCAGTGTCATTATTTCTGTTACAATAATTCAAATGATCACAGAAGTGCTTGGATAAAAGTTTATAGTTCGGATATAAACACTGATGTCTACAGTAGCGATCAAAATAGAGCAGATCACCTTTTGAAAGTAACTTGGCACTTCAAATAACGACTGTGGCTGTGTTCGAAATCCTCCCCTATACCCTCATTCACTATTCCCCACATTACTTCACTAATATAGTTCACTTGAAGGAGTGAATGGAAACGAGTGAGTGAATTGAGACACTGAGTGTGCAGTAGTTATACTGTATGTTTGACAGCAGTTCTTCTAACACTCAATGATGGAGTGTGTAGCTTTGCATTTCTTAAACAGCCATGTAGGAAGACACATCATAGCCATATTCCAGGATGACAATGAAGATTCATCAGGCTCAAACTGTGAAAGAATGGTTGTGAGGAGCATGAAGAATCATTTTCACACATGAATCGTCTCCTCTGAGTCCAGAGCTTAAATTCATTGAGTCTCTTTGGGATGTGCTGGAGGAGACTTTACAGAGTGCTGGACTTAGCTTCAGATATGCGCCTCTTGATGGAAATAACATCACAACATTTATTTCCATCAAGAGGTGCATATATATATACACACTTAATTTTGATGATAAAAGTGACATCATCAAAACATGCTTTCCCATTTTCCCATAGTGTTGTTAAAGGAAAACTCTATTTGTTTGGAGGCTCCTCACATCCTGACGCTAAAGAGTGTCTCCCAGGCGTCTATTGCTTTGACATTGGTAAGACCATTTATTGTGCATACTACTGTGAGTGTCAATGCGTATGACTACTTTAGATGAAAATGAATAGCTTTTGTTGTTTAGTTAAAGGGTTAGTTCACCCCAAAATGAAAATGATGTCATTAATGACTCTCCCTCATGTCGTTCCAAGCCCGTAAGACCTCCGTTCATCTTCAGAACACAGTTTAAGATATTTTAGATTTAGTCCGAGAGCTTTCTGTCCCTCCATTGAACATGTATGTACGGTATACTGTCCTTGTCCAGAAAGGAAATGAAGACATCATCAAAGTAGTCCATGTGACATCAGTGGGTTAGTTAGAGTGTGTTGAAGCATCGAAAATACATTTTGGTCCAAAAATAACAAAAACTAGGACTTTATTCAGCATTGTATTGTCTTCCGGTTCTGTTGTGGATCCGCGTTCAGTGACGCCGCTGACGTAAGACGCTGCTGACGTGTGTCTGGTGTGTGTGTGTGTGTGTGTGTGTGTGTGTGTGTGTGTGTGTGTATTCCGGTTCTGTTGTGGATCCGCGTTCAGTGCCGCCGCTGACGTAAGACGCTGCTGACGTGTGTCTGGTGTGTGTGTGTGTGTGTGTTCTGGTTCTGTTGTGGATCCGC